GGGGCCTGAGTTCAATCCCCAGTTCCACCAAAAAAAAAAAAAGACAGGGAGAGATCAGAAAAAAATTGTATGCACTTTGTTTCTCTATAACAGTGGTGGTGAACCTATAGTACTTGCCTTGTAAGTTTATAACACTGACAACTCTGGAAGGCTCACCATCACTGTCATTCAATAATTGTACTATATGAGCTACATTATTTAATATTTGTGGGCTTTCCTAATTTGTACATTTCAAAAATAAAGTATATTTTTCATTTTATTTTCGCAATATTGGAGATTGAACCCAGGCCCTGTGCATGTTAGGCAAGTACTCCACCACTGAGCTACACCCCCAGCCCCCAATCTTGTACACTAAATCTACCACAGTTAAAGCCTTAAAGCAGAGGCCAAGCCCATTTAATAAGATCTCTCTCCTACAATATTTTTCTACAATATTTTCATAATTTAATTCTACACACACTTGTTTCTCAAACTCTGCTTCACACTAAGAAAAATGAGTGAGACATGCCAGAAAGCCAAACTCCGTACAACTGGTGAAAGAGAAAGCTAGAAAACTGCTGCCAGGGAGATGGGTCAGTGGAATAAGTGGAAGAAGTGCTTCCCTGGCAAGCACAAGATCAATCCCTAATTCCGAAGGGGGGGAAAAAGCCCCCAAAAAACCTGCCGCTTGACAAGAAACATGAACTTTGAAAAACTAATGCCCAAAAAAAAAAAAAAAAAAAAAAAAGAAAAAGAAAAACTAATGCCTACCAGGCATACCACTAATTATGAGGAATATTTGAGTGCATTAGTTTTCTATTGCTGAATAACAAATTACCATAAATTGATAGTTTAAAGGACATAGTGAAACCCTGTCTCAAACAAACAAACAGGCTGGGTATAGTGGCATACACCTGCAATCCCAGCACTCAGGAGGCTGAGGCAGGAGGATTGCTGCAAGTTTGAGACCGTCTGTGCTACAAGTGAGCTCAAGACAAGCCTGAACTGCATAGCAAGACCCTGTCTTAAAAAGACAAAAATAAGGGCTGGCCAGATAGCTCAGGAGATTAAAGCCCCTGCTTAGGCAGACACAGACGCAGGGACCCCAGGCATGCAGCACCAGCCACGCCCTGGATGCTGAGACAGACAATTGAGACTGGGTGTGGTGGCACATGCCTGTAATTCCAATGCTTAGGAGGCTGAAAACAGGAGGATCACTAGAAGTATGATCTGTGTAGTGAGATCCTGTAGACCTTGTACTAAATAATTTTTTAAAAAAGAAATAGCACTCATTTATTACTTAATCATTACAAGAAAAAAGTCTGTAGAGAGCACAGGTGTATGCCCTGCTCAGTGTCCCACAAGCAGACATCAGAAAGCCTGCAAGTGGGTTCACATCCAAGGTCTGATGTCCTCCAAAACTTCTAAGTTGCTAGACTGAGGTCCCTTTGGTCTTCCTAGTTATTGACAGGAGGCCCATCTTAATGTTTGCTAAGTAGGCTTTCTTATAGTTCCAGTTTCTCTGACTTTGAAGACACCTCAGTCCCTTTTAAGAATTTATCTAATTGGATAATGTCATGTCAGCTAATCTTCCTTTTTGTGAAAATGATAGCCCTCATATTCCTAGGTCCTGCCCACACTCAAGGGGAAAGGATTCCATAGTACATAGCTTACCAGGAGCCAGAAATTTGAGTGAAATCTTAAAGCTGTGCCTTGCAGAGTACTGTTTATCACATTTTGATGAGTTTGAAAAGAAAAACATGGGTGTAATAGGATGACTTGACTCAGTAAAATATTTCTTACAGTTTTAAAAAATGCTTGAGAAATTAAAATGGTAAAGCATTATTACAGCTTTTCTATCTCTCACAGCCTACTGTTCAAAAACTTTTTAGGCTGAAATAAAACTCAGAGGTATAATGTTTGCCTAGCATGCACAAGGCCCTGGATTCAATCTCCACCACTGCAAAAGCAAAACAAAACAACAGAGCCAATGTTTTCAATATAACCCTTCTATTCCAGCTAGTTTACTTCCATCTATGTTTTCTTAACCTTTCTCCAACTTTGTAGTGCTGGCCAAGGGTGGAGTCCTACTCTTGTAATCCCACCACTCCAGAGGCTGAAGCTGAGGCTGTAGGACTGCCATGGGTTAGAGGTCAAGCTGCACTACCTACCTAGTCAGTCCAAAGCCAGCCAGAACTACACAGGGAGACCCTGCCTCAAAAAGCCTAAAACAGGGGGAACTACCTGCTTGTCCTCTCTTGGACAGGAGCTTTCTTTCTCTCAATAAATATATTCTGGGGCTGGTGAGATGGCTCAGTGGTCTAAAGCACCTACTTAGAACAAACTAAGCCAATCAAAGTACAGGGACCTTGGTTCAATCCCCCAGCACCACATGCCAGCCAGCCCCGCCCCCTGGTGGGCTGAGCAGGCCACACACTAAA